ATTTGATTTGAATGTAAGCCGGGTTATGCGTGATACTATCATTCTGGTGGGTAAACAAAGAAAGAGGAAATCCAAAAAATAGTTTCTATTTGTGGTTGGCTTGGTGGCTGCTAACCCGTGGGGTGTTTGCGTTGTGTGGGTTATTATTTGGTTGTTGGGGGTATCATCTTTCTCTTTGGTGTAGTCTTTTTTTCTTTTGTTTGTGTAGGTTGTTGTTGTGGTGCTAGTTGGTGGATCTATGGACTACGGATTTGGATGACACTTTTGCTCTGGATGTAGATGGTTTGCTGATGGGCTTTTGTTGTTTTCCTCTAACTCCTTTACTGTTTGTTTGTGATAAGACTGATCTTCTTTTTGCTTTATCTTGGTTTTGTATTTAGATGGATTCCAAGGCTCTTAGGTTTTATTTCAATTGTTATATTTTGGCGAGCTTTGAAATATTTAATTAAAGGCGTGTAATTTTTATCTATTTTAACACGTAGTCCCCTTTTGTGGGGTTTTAATTAAAAAAAAAAAATCAATCCTTTAGAATAAGTGTCAATTATATGGCATTAACACCTTTTCTAACTATAATATAGTGCATCAATTATAACCAATGAGATAGTGGCAGAATCATATCAAGTGCTAAACTCATTGTAAGATATATAAATAGATAAAACTTCTGAAAATTTGAATCTGATTTGTAAAATATTTTAATTAATTATTCATTATTATTATTATTTTTTGTTTGAAATGATCTAAACTGATTTTGTGCTTATCTATCTTGAACTGATTTTGTCTATTCATGGATCCACAGTTATATAAATAGGTAAATCTTATCAAAATTTCAAGTTTGTAAACTTTGTAACTCTAATTTAATGGTGCAAAGTAGGTGATGTTCAATACTAAATAATGGTTTGATTATCATTCTTTTAGCTTATAAAGGTAGCCTTCGATTTAGGGTCTATTGGGAACAATTTTTTTGATAGAGCAAAAACAATATGTTACAAACAAATTGAAAGTCTTAGGTGTCGTTTGAGACAGTTTTTTTACTGCTTTCTAAAGCAAATTTCTAGCACAAATATTTCTAATTCAAAAAATTTTTATACTAAAAAATTATTTTAAAAACAATAAAAAATTTGCCCCAAATGAAATCTTAATTAGTCTCAAATTATTATTATTATTTTTTTCTTTTTTACAACTTATAAATCTTATTGCCATGTGGCCTATAAATCTAGTTTCCAGTGTTGTAAAATTTATATACAAATGTTGGAAAAATTCAATGGATAAAGACTCAAATATAAATTAGTGATACTTATAAATAGTTATTATGTATATATAAGTATCACTGGGCCCCCCTTAGCTCTGCCATTGATGTATAGTTAGAGGATGGGTTGGTAGACAAATTTTTCACCTATTGATGAATACAAAAAATGATAATGATTATAGTGATTTTTTTTTTTTCACTTTTGATAAGTAATTATATCCAATCAAACATAAATCTCCATAAAAAATTTAGATTAGAGCTTTTGGAATTAAAATAAGGATCTTATCCAAATTTCTATTTTTGTCAAACTTATAATTGAATTGAATGTCGCAATAAGATGAACCTAAGACATCAAACCTGATTTGATTTGACTCTAAAATGATATATCATTTTGCATGTTTACATTAAAAATGAGCATCTCATTGAGAGGAGTCTAAAGAGTCTAAAAGCACACAAGTCTAAGATCATTAAGGCACTTAATTTCTTAAATAATGAAAGATTAATCTGTGATCCAATAAATCAACATGGAATATCTGATGGAGTCTTTTGAAATTTTCATTAAATTTATCAAAATAAAACTCAAGAAAACTATAAATAAACTCTTATTCTTTATTTGAAAGGGAGATTGGAGCTTGGTGCTTAGATTTTGACTTAAAATGAGAGAGAGAGAGAGAGAGAGAGAGAGAGAGAGAGAGAGAGAGAGCTTAAGACCTGAAAAACTCTGAAGCTACACTCAATGTTTGATGTGACGAATGCTTGCAACAATCATTATTATCTATGTGCCATCTCCTAATGAATGTTGCTTGACCATTATTGCTCAGTTACAATCTTATAACCATTGTCATCCGAATACGATCTCTTAACTATCATCACCTGATCACTATTATTCAACCATTGTTGCTCGATTTTGTTCTCATAACCACTATTACCCGACTTATATTACCCTACCACCATTGTCCAACCATTATCATCTGCCTACAATCTTCGAACTATTATTTTTCAACTATTCTTCTGACAACTGACGCTCGCCGTCATGATCGCCTCACAACATTACCAATAAGGCAAATTCACACTACCACGTAAACATTGATACTCGTTAATTTTGTCATCCTCCATTGACATATACAATGATACTCATCAACATTGCATCTACCATCACCAAAAACATCAACCCTTACTATATATTAATAAGGCCAATGCACGCCATGACCTTATTATTGTCTCCAACTAGAGACTGTAAAGCCTCAGGCCTGTACAACTATGCAAAACTTTTTTTTTTCAGGGGGGTCCCTGTAGAACACCCAAAGAGCTTGACTTACAGAATTGTGTTTCGAGTCAACCGTACAACTTGATTGATCGATACAATCAAATTCCACACCTAACTAACACCAATTTTACTTAGTATTTATCGAGTACAAAGTTCCAACTACTGAGTTTTCTGACTAAATTATAAATTTTGACTACTAAGTTTGTGAAATAAATGTCTTTTCATAATAATCAAATTTTCAGTATTCGATTTTTTTAATAGATAAACTAATCCATGCCAAGTCATTGATAATATACAACAAATAAATTGAATTTGATTGTTCATTTAAAAGGTATGATAATCTATCCATTTGAATGAATATAAATTTACTATATTCTTTTATGCCCATTCAAATGAGGACATCAATATAAATTGCCATTTAAATCAATATCTCCATATTTTCCGTACAAATGGCTAATTATGAAGTACAAATGGCTATGTTTAAAAAATTTTCAACATAGAATAAGCCATAAAAAAACATAATTGACATAATAAAATCTTGTCATAAGAAAGAGAGATGTTAATTATAACTCTTTAATTATATTAGATATGCATTAAAGTTTTCTAGATATAAGTCAATATTTAGCCACAAATCGGTTTGATTTAGGCTTCATTTGAGGTGGCTTTCTTACTACTTAAAACGGCTTTGTAGTTCAAAAATTAAAATTTTAGTACTAAAAAGATGCTTTAAGAAGTAGTAAGAAAGCCGTCCTAAATGAAGCCTTAGGCTTCGTTTGGGACGGATTTTTCCGCTTCTTAAAGCAACTTCCTAGTACAAAAATTTTAATTTTGATACTAAAAAGTTGCTTTAAGAAGCAACAAGAAAGCCGTCCCAAACGAAGCCTTAGTCTAATTGACATACGAGATCAACTTCTTTTTGCTAGTTCGATTGACTCAAGCTCAATAAGAGTGATTAGGGTATAAACCTGAGCCTACTAGAGTCTTAATTTTCTTTATAGTTTATAGTAACTTTAGAATCATTGAATTTATCTCATTAATATACATGATGTGATGGGATGGTGAGAAGAAGATGTTAATGCTATAAGAGAATTTTCAACTCCTTTCCTTCCCAGCATAGGCCAAAGCCCTATCTTATCTCTCATTTTGTTTAGGGAAGATGTCAATGTTTACATGATGAATTCACTTGTTGTTAGTTTTTTTGTGGAACCTTATGGTGCTAATCAATTGGGTTGTATTGCTATCTCAGTCCTCAATTCAGCCTATCGGGCTTGTAGGAGGTTGTCCCCCTACTTGGGTTCTAGTGCTTGGCACTTGAAAATTCTTTTACGTACAGCACCCTACCACTATGTACCCAGTTGCGAGTTTTTAACGTCAAATCCTGATATTCTTTTCTTTTCGCTGTAATTTTCTATTTTATGTTTATTTCATTGTGTTGTTTACTAGCCTCCAATACCTTTTTGTAGATCAAAAGGGTACCTATTTCTCTCACTCGATCACCTTTAGTGTATAATTTATTGCTCGAGCTGTCTAACATTTTCTTATTCTATGCCTGAGCTAACTCAACCTCTCCCAATTTGCTCCTCTAATATGAGATTGATACAAACCCCTTCCACTAAAGCTCGACATATATGGTAAAAAGCCATATATTCAATAAACTTAAAATTAATTACAAAATTCCAAAGAAATATTTGAAAATCTTTATTGCATAAAAAATAAAAAAAATTAATCCAATATTTATATTTAATTAGAAATATCAACTATATCTTAAGAATGCCTAATATAAGGGAAAATCTTAACTTCAGAAAATTTGCATTAATATTATTAATATAATTAGTAGTTAAAATACAAATAATGTTGATACGTCATCACAAAATTATCTTGATCGGGCACGAATCTCGAGGCAAAAAGCTAGTTGGAAACTTCAAAAATAAAATCCGAGAGCACCTGAACTCCGATTTCAGCAAGCTTGCAGTCAAACTGAGCATCTAGGAAATACGAACCCAATGACACCAAATTCAACCCAATCTGAGCCCAATGGGTCCGAATCAAGGACACGAAGCGCTGTTGAAAGGTTCAAACCACAATTCGAGTTACCAAACGATCTCCGATTTTAACGAGCTTATACTCGAATCGAGCGGCTCGACGAGACGAATCCAACGAGCCCAAGATCGCAGAATTCCAACATCACTAAGGCCTTCAAATATCCAACGAACGGTACATGATTGTAGGATTCAATATCGGCCGTCCATTCAACCACTCCCTATTCGCCCCTGATCTCGCGACTATTTACGAGCTATGCCACTCCAAAAAAATTATAAATATAACCCTCATTCTTTACAAGGGGGACTCAAGTGAAAAGAGATAAGAATTAATGCTCATTTACACCCTTATCTCCTTCCAACATCCAAAAAAAAAGATCAATTTCATTTCAAAATTCAATTGGCTTTCTTCATGAACTCCTGTTCTTCCCGCGTAGCGGATATTGTAAGCGATCCAGCGATCACGTCGTGCCAGTCTCGAATCGGGATACCCGCGGAGGCGCTCTCCCTTCAGCATTCGTGCATTATTCCTAATCATATCGGAAACAATCCTTAGACTATTTCTCTCCGTCGGGACTTCGGAGTTCATCGCTAGTCGTGCAGCCTCGAAGCCATCTGTATTCATCTGTTTTTTTTATTTGTCCTTCACCCCATCTCTTCCGTCAAATTTGCATCTGTAAACCAAGCTCAAGCCCTAAAGCCGGCACCTTGTTATATCTATGAGGTGTGGGCAGTCTCAATCTCTCACATTTTCGACGATCCAAGCTAGAAGTTTTGACCCATGGCATCCACACCGGAGGCCGCGGACGCGGCTGACGCGGCCGAGGCGGTTCTGAGACTCGCGCGCGAGCTCGCTGCAATGGGCGACGCAGTGGCGGCCGAAAGCGTCCGCCTTGTGCGCAAGGTGTCACTTCTTATCCATCTCCTTGAGGAGATTCGGGGCTTTATTGCGCGGAGCGGTGGGCAGTCGCCGGGGGTGTCGACTTCGTTGGCGGTGAACTCGTCCTGGTCGTGTTTGGCTGATATGGCACTTGCGCTTGAGGCGGTGAGGAGGTTCTTGTTGATTGGCGGCCGGCAGAATGCCGGCGAGAGTTCCAATGCGGTGACTCTTCTGCTTAATCTGTAGCAAATTGGTGTGTGTCTGTGTAGATCAGGTGTTCGATTAAATGACTCTATCACAACGGTTTTCAATTTGAGTTCTATTGTGAGCACTCTTATGATCCGTTGGGTTTAAAGATGACATCTCTGATTAGTAACAGCAGCAAAATTATAGCTTAAAGTTGCTTCTGTTGGTGGAATTTTCTTGTCAATGACTCTATGATTCCATGTATATTGAATTTCCTTTAGATTGCTGCCTTTTTTGGCAATCATCAGTTAAAGTTGATAAATTTGATGAACTGTATTATCTTTAGTTGACTATAGATTGGCGTAATTTCTATTGTTTGTGCATTTATGCTTCATTTAAGACATTTTGTTATGCAATCCTTCACTGTAGAATGTTACTGATCAATATAATGTTACGTGATCAAGGATTCAGCGGCCAAGAACTTAGCGATCCAGTATCAGTATGTGACATGGCAGCTGGAGAAAGTCCTAGGGGACATATCTTATGAGCATTTTGAAATATCTGATGAAGTTCAGGAGGAGGTATATATATCTACTATTGTTGTTTTAGAAATTTTATCAATTTATGTATGTTGCTCGAGTTGAATGTTTTATGTATCCAGGTTGAACTGGTGCGTGCTCAACTGAGAAGGGAGACCACGAAAGATGGAGTAGCAAATCTGAATATTTTTCAGGAAATTTACAGTTTGCTCTCCCATACACATTCCGAAGAATTTAAACGGCAATGTTCATTTAAGTTGGAAGAGTTGCAGGTTGAGTCCACTAGCATTGTTTTTCATGAACTCAGAGACATAGTTACACTTCTTGCAGAAGTAAATGGGAAATCGAATTGTGATGCTGAGAGAATGACTCTCATTTTGATGGATAGGCTTAAAAAGACCATTCATACTGATATTTCTAAAAATAAGAAAGCTGGAACTGGGTCAAGTAAATTAGGAATCTGCGCAGTAGAAGATGAAAAACGTGATTCTCTGGTGATTCCAGAAGATTTTCGATGTCCAATATCCCTAGAACTGATGAAAGATCCTGTTATTGTTTCAACAGGGCAGGTATTGTAGAGAACTTACCCATTAAGTTTGAAAGAAACTAAATTCATTTAAATGCTTGTAACAATTCAATATTTTCTTATTTTAAAAATCCTAATTTTGACTCTTTGTTGGACTTGCAGACTTATGAGCGTTCTTTCATTCAGAGATGGATAGATTGTGGTAATCGAACATGTCCAAAGACTCAACAAAAGCTCCAAAACCTTACACTAACTCCTAACTATGTGTTGAGAAGTTTGATCATACAGTGGTGTGAGACTAATAGAATTGAGCAGCCACACAGGTCGAACGGTGGACGTGTTAGAAGTGATGGAACATTTCACGAAATAACTGGAGATAAATCCTTGATTAATTCTCTAGTTTCTAAACTTACTAGTAGGTCAACGGAGGAGCAAAGGTCAGCTGCTGCTGAAATTAGATTACTTGCAAAAAGAAGTACAGACAACCGGATACTGATAGCAGAAGCTGGAGCCATCCCAGCTCTTGTTAGTCTCTTATGGTTGGATGACCAAAAGACGCAGGAGCATGCGGTGACATCTCTCCTAAACCTTTCTATATATGATCATAACAAGGAACTAATAATGCTTGCTGGAGCAATTGCTCCAATTATTCAAGTTCTTAGAAGTGGAAGCATGGAAGCAAGAGAGAATGCAGCCGCTACTATTTTTAGTTTGTCACTAATTGATGAAAACAAAATAACCATTGGTGGGACATCAGGAGCCATTGAAGCACTTGTAGAATTGCTTGAGATTGGAAGCCCAAGGGGTAAGAAGGATGCCGCAACTGCTCTGTTTAACTTGTGCATTTATCAAGGAAACAAATCACGAGCTGTGAGAGCTGGGATTCTAAGACCTTTAATTAAGATACTCAAGGATTCCTTAACCTGTGGCATGCTGGATGAAGTACTGACTATTTTGTCTGTTCTTGTAAGTCACCAGGAAGGCAAGGTAGCTATAGCAAAAGCTAATACAATCCCACTTCTAATAGACCTGTTAAGAACTGGACAGCCACGCATCAGGGAGAATGCAGCAGCAATACTACTTGCTCTATGTAAAAAGGACTCTGAGAACCTTGCTTATATAGGTAGGCTAGGCGCTGTTATCCCTTTAACAGAGGTTGCAAAGACTGGAACTGAGAGGGCAAAGCGCAAGGCCAATTCTCTTCTGGAGCACTTGAAAAAGCTACAGATTCTCTGAATGAATTTTCCTCATAGGTAACATCCAATAAACTCCTCCTGTGCATAACTAAATGGAACGAAAAGCTTATGCGAAAATGAAATGCAACTTTGTGTGCTTTAGCAGTGGAGTTTAAGGTCATATGTACTGCTCTTTACTCATTTATTTCATTCAACGAGAAAATTGTGTGAGGCTCCCTTCTGTTGTGCATGTTTTGCATTTGTTGTATTTTCAATATGCCTGTGAAAACATTGTTTTCTCATGATCGACTCTGTTCGTCAGACTAGTTCTCAACTTGAGCCTGAAATTTAAGCTATACTGTTACTGCTCCTAACGATTTGTTGTACAACTGCCTCTCATTGTTGAGATGATTTGTGGCTTTTATTTTATGTTGAGCTCGATGGAAACTCTTTCTTGTAACATGAACAACTTAAATTGTTCTAATGAAAACTTTTTTTTTTTTCTGAACAATTAAGTTAGAACTAGTCTGATATTTTCTGCATTGAAGGATTTTTAAAAGGGGTTTCTGCAGCAGGATTTCTTAGGGGTTCTACTATTGTCGTATACAAAGTTTAGATTGGACGCACAAAGCAACATATCAAAGGTTACAATTCATATTACTAACTTTTAGTTTGGGCAATTATTAGTCTCATTTAATGCAAAATCAGGAAACACATAATTCACTTGAAAAAAATAATTTAGAAGTTGCTAAAATCTGAAATCATAAGAAATCATAGAATGAATAACATTCATATAATTATTTATGATTCATAGCATAACAAATAAGCCAAAATGTGTAAAATCAATCAATAACTATTTAGATGAAAGGATAAGGTTAGAAAGTTAGAAATTATTGAAGATTTCGAACTCATGTCAGTACATCGAAGAAGCTTTCACATGGAAGCTTTTTTTAAGTCTTCAACGTGCGCCCGATGAGTCTACATACAATAAAACATATAAATGTTAGAGAAATATGAGAATTTATTAAGCCGCTTAATTATTTATTAATGCTTAAATACCTCTTTTTTATAACAAAAAATAGTCCACAATTGTTAATTCCACAAAAACTCTTGCATATTTTTTAAAACTATAATTTTCAATCTCCAAAACAATAAAATTAACTTCCGATTTTTAGCCATCACAAAAGCATCAACTGTCTATTCAACTATGGTGGTATACTAGCAAGTTATAACATTTAATATATATCTATAAGCACCTCGGTCAGTCGGTCTGGTCAATCTATTGAGTAATAGATCAAATTTCAAATAGTAAAAACACACAAAAATATAAAAATATTTTATACATGTCCATTTAATTAATGGCTACATACATTATATTGTTGATGTTGTAGGTTTCACTATTGATTGTGGAGAATTGCAACTTTAATTCCTTTTGTACATAGGACACCAACCCTCATCTCTTTATAAATACCAAAAATTATACTAGACAAAAAATATAATAAAATTCTTAAAATGCCCTTAATAAAATAACCATAAAATTTTGATACTTTGTAAGGGGCTTCGGCTCTACCTTCAAATATTTGGCATGGCTTGATTACTTGCCCCTTCCCAATCCATGCAGCAACTTGCATTTAAGGCTGAATAATTAAGGAAAAAATCAATCTTTACAACTTAACAAATATCAAGTCACTACATCGTATTAACCGAATTCAACAATTCATTAGCTTTAATCAACTCTATATTCACCAAGGTTAAAGTCCTTAAAACTTTTATTGAAGTTGCCCAAGGCTTAAAGCCATTGAAAGAATCATCTCATCAAGTCATCAGGAGAAAGAATCTACTCACCTATAAAATTCGGCAAATAAAGTCATTAATTCGTCAAGATTAATATCTGATAGGAAATACTCCAATAGAAAGTGAAGTATCTTGGTTGAATTTGAGTTTCAACAAACCCCAAATAGTAAAAAGAGAAAAGATTTAGGTAGAAACTCACAAAAGAACGTTTTAATTAATGGTAGGAAGAAGAAAACAAGCAAGTTACAATGGACCTTCGATTTAAGAGGAAGTTTCAACTCTCCCAAATCCTAGCCGCCCACTAGAATCCCTCTTTCTCTTTAGGAAAACAAAGCTCAGCAAAATATTTGATAAAACAAATCCTAGGAGACAAACCTACCAATACATATAAAAATTCTCCCCAATTCCAAAACAATCCCTCAATTTGAAAATTTTCCTCCTAAACTCTCGTTAATTTCTCATTAATGTGGCTGCTATACCCCACCTCCAAATGGGGCACCACCTCTGGTAAGCCAAGGACAGCCTAGAGACCTGTCTAACAATACTCTCCTCCCAAAGATCCACCTTGTCCTCAAGGTGGAAGGACAAAAATTAATACTTCACTCTCTCATATGGCTCTCATGTGGCATCATAGTCAGGTAGTTTTTTCCACTTTATCAGTACTTTCTTGAGCCCACCCTCTCACTTTCGTACCCCTTTCAGCTCTAGTGGTTCTAACATCACCTTCAGATCCTTTGTCAGTGTCCCCAATAACTTTGAACTAGTTGCATGATCCCTAATAGCTCTACTCAATTGTGATACGTGAAACATCGGGTGTATGGTAGCGGTCGGGGGTAACCATAATCGATAAGCGACTGCTCCAATCCTTTCTACTATATCATAAGGGCCAAAGTACCTCGGGGCCATCTTTTCATTCCTCATGTGAGCTACCGTCCTTTGTTTGTAGAGGCGTAGCTTCAAGTATACCTTATCTCCTATCTCAAAATGGATGTCCTTCCTATGCTCATTTGTCTGCTTTTTCATAAGGTGTTGAGCCCTAACAAATGCCTTTTCAACTCATCCAACACCCTGTCCCTCTCCTCCCAGTTTTGCTCTACTGAAGAAATCAACGTGCTACTCTGTCTAAAGTGTACTAAGTGAGGTGGTTCTCTTCTGTACAACACTTTTAAAAAGGGTTATTTGGGAAGATGAATGATATGAGGTGTTGTACGAGTTTTCTGCCCATGCCAGCCACTTGGCACACCACCTAGGTATCTTGGAACCAAAACATCGTAGGTATGTCTCCAAACTCTTGCTCACCACTTCTATCTGTCTGTCTGTCTGGGGGTGCTAGGGGTGCTCCTCTTCAGCATTGTCCCCTGCAATCTGAACAATTCTCTTCAAAAATGATTGTGGAATATCTTATCTTTGTCAGATATTATAGACTTCGGTATCCCATGCAGCCTGACCGCCTCTTTGATGAATGTCGTCGTTATTATCACTGACGTGTAAGGGTGTTATAAGGGAATGAAGTGAGCATACATGCCTCAATATGTCAACCACCACCAAAATCACAGTAAATCCCTCAAATTGGGGTAATTTATCTATAAAGTCCATGGTGACCTCCTCCCACACCCTATCTGGTAGTGCTAGGGGTTGAAGCCATGTACTTATTCCGCTGACATACCTCACATCTAGTCATCATCTCTTCCACATCCTTGTGCAACAATTTCCAATACAGCTCTGCTACCAATCTCCTGTATGTCTTCACTAGAATGACCCCCAACTGCGCTCCCACAGAACTCCTGTAAGGCTGTAACAGTTGTGAGATATCGGCGGAGGTTCGAGGCATCACAAACCTCCCATAGTATAACAATCTCTCCCTCTCTAGAGAATATCCAGGGTGACTATTCTCATCCCTAAGCAGATATGCTCCAATCCTTCTCAGCTCCACTAACTCCCGGAGCTTTCCCATGCATCTGGACAAGGCATCAGTTGTCTTATTCTCCAATCATGGCGTATAACGGAACTCAAAGTCACAGCTTTGACAACCATCTCTTTCATCCTTTGCTCCAACAGGTACTTCAAGCTTTTTTGGTCTGTCCTGATAATGAAATGTCAGCCTTACAAGTAAGGTTGTCACTTCTGAATAGCTAACATAATGACTATCAACTGCCTCTGATATACTGACTTCAACCTAGCTCTGGCTTGTCAACACCTGGCTGAAGTAACCGATGGGCCAATGATTCTGTATGAGCATTGCCCCCAATCCATACCATGATGCATCAGTCTCTATCACAAAAATCTGACTGAAATTCGGTAGGGCCAAAATCGATACTGTGGTCATGGTTTTCTTCAATCTCTTAAAGGCCCGAGTAGCTGCCTCTCTCCAAAGGAAGTTATCCTTGATTCCTTCTTCAACTGCTCTGTCAATGGCCAGACTATGGTGTTTGTATCTTTGGAGAGAAGGATTGAAGCATATTTGCTTGTCTCTCCAGTGGTACCAGGCCAACTATCAATGAACTCCCTCCAACTCCATATAGGCCGCCTCTTGCTCTCTAGTGGTACCAGGCCAATGCCTTCCTCTCCAACACAGGCCAGCTATCATCAATCTCTCTTCCTCTGTCAACCCATTGACAGAGAAGTACCTCTCCACCTTGTAGATCTCTACCCCCGCGCATCCTCTCATTCAAAGATAGATATCTTCAGCTTCCTCACTCTTGTATCACTTCTGTTTCCTCTAATTCCTCCATAACCTCCCATTCCCCACGGGGGTAGTCATCTCCAAGTGTTCTGATCCTTCCTTCTAAGCTTGTACCCAAACCACTCTTCAAAATCACCTATTCTTCTTTCAAAATCAACACCTCTTCACTCAAAATTAGCCCTTCTTCTTGCAAAATCAGTCCCCCTCCGCTCAGACCGAGTATTCATCTCTTCCCTAGAAATAGGTTCTAGGTTATGATGCACAGACACGGACACGGCGACACAGACACGACACGATATAGACACAGGACAACTTTTTTTGAAAATATAGGACACAGGTACGACGCGAACACGATATTACATTTTTTAATATAGTGTATAAATATTAATGTAACATCATATTAAAATGACAAACAATAATAAATAAATGACATGATAATTTGTCTAGCTTATAATATAAAATATTAGTACAAAATGTCTAGTACAACCACAAAAATATAAACAAATAATCACTTACTACAACATCAAGCATTCAAGCTTCAACTACTAAGATTAGATTTAGAGGTTTGTTTTTGGCCTTCAATATCATCATCATTGAATATCACTGCTTTCAACTCTGGTTCAACAAGAGAAAGATTTGCAATATTTCATTGGATATCATTGATGTGAAACAAGCATGCGATGGAGTTACTTTAAGAAATTAAAGAGAGCAATTTTAACAAAATAATCCAAAATAAAATTGTCACTTATAGCAAAAGATTGATCCTTGGAATTCGTGGGTTTTAACTTGCTTAGGCTAAGAAGAGCGGAGTCGATTAACCAAACAATTTAAGAAAATGCAAAGATCAACTGTAAAACTATGACGATAAACAAGAATCCTTGATTTAATAATGAGAACTTTCACCTTTGAAGCCCAACGCTCAACTAGTTTAGGCTTTAGCGGAAGAAGAGTCTCCACATTAGAATCGAGGTCATTCCGAGGAAGAAGGAGCCTAAGATCGTCGTTCTTGGATAGGTGGCCGGAGTGGTGG